AATACACAAAAACACTGTAAATATTGAATTAATATATTTGCAGTTCAAAATCACCCATCTTAATTGGAAATGAATCAAAATTGCCATATAATATACTAAATGTCATATATATACTGTGTTAGATTGCAATTTCATGTAAGTCYTGTTTTAAGTTTCATATTTATCGGTGACATGTTCGATCTTCACATTAAGGCATTAACCAAATCATCAGCTCAAAATAGATTAACAATGATCAACCATCATAACTAAGTACGGCTTGAACCAAAAAGATCGCTTACCTGGTAAATATTCTTCCATTTCTTGAGCTTCTGTACAACAACAACAACAACAATAACCACAAAATATTAAAATTTATACCAACAATAATTTTTCATCTGACGATTTAAATTATCCAACACTGTTGATGAACTACCTTTGATTAGAAGAGCGTCTCGGACAGAAATTCGCTGTCCTTTGCGTGATTCATTGGTACTAAGGCCTTTACCCTTCTTCTCTTTCTCTTCCTTGATCTTCTTGGAGAGAGTTATCATATTTTATGAGAGAAAATTGCGTATTTTTTGGAACAGTTTGACAGGAATTTTTCTACTTCGTTTTGATATCATTCTCACATCTGAGCCTGCACACAACTATACAGCGGTCTATAAGATTATGAATCCGCGATACTACTGGTCAGCGTGTTCTAGGCTTAGTCTCCTCGCGGCCAAAGGCTGTAGTCCTAGTCCTAGTCTCTCACGGTCAAGGGTGCAGAAATTTTACGTCGACATTTTTTCTAGATTTCACGTTTCTCTTTCGTTTAATTTCAATTTTTTAAATGATATATTATTTTTTAAACTTCCAGAAATGTTTTAATCACAGTTAGTAGTATATATTGGCTTTGGTATTAGTAAATTACAACGGAACGGAGGTTCGTTTTAATGCTGTTTTATTATTGATATCATGAAGAAATGCTGAATCACTGTTCTGGTTGGACTTCTTGTCGAACCGACTTGTAGGATACGTTCCAAAACAGGTAATTTAGTTAAGATATAAATCCAGTTTCTACGTCAAGTAAAATACTCTACAAATAAAACAATAACTAATATTTTACGTATGAATATTTTATATTTTAATGTTTTTGCCACCCCCTCCCCTCCCCCAACGACCACTACACGGGACAACAGGATCTTATTTTTTTCCGTTTAGATTCCTTTTCTCGTGTTCAAAATTGAGGCCCAGTTTGTGATTCAAGTGTACAACTAGAATGCAGTTTTTGGTAGAAAATTATCATCAATACTAGTCTTACTTCTTATCATTTATGTTTTACTCATTTCAAAGGTACGCAGTATATTCCGTTCTGTTTGATCTTAGATAAATCTGATATGGATTCAAAAAATAAATGCACTTCATCACAATTGCCTTCCAATCCATTTTTGGCTTTGTTCCAAACAAACCACCAACGAGAGGGCAACATTACCTCCGATGAACCTGTATCTGTATGCTACAAGGAATCACAGGAAGAGACACTTTCAAGTACGACCATAAATGGACCAGCCTCTGAATCCACCCCCTCAGYCGACCTTCAGAATGATGAAGGAATAATCAATGATATTCTACAAAGAATATTCTTAGTGACTCTTAGTAATGGTAAGAAAAATTATTTATTGATATATACTACTATTGTAGTGCCGACTATGTTATATCAAATATAGAGCACTTATCAGATATTTTCTTGGATATTCTCGCTGATATTTCCTAGTTCTCGAGAGATGAAATAGCAGCTATTAGTTTTTAGCTTGARAGCATACATTACACTGTTTATTTCATTGTTGCGACAGGCGCCACAAAGCAAACTAAAATGTGAGGGGGCTGAAATTGAAACTAGTATGGGGAAAAGAGGAAGGGGGTATAGCCCCCTGCCCCACCTCTGCCGCACCCCTTCCATGGCCCATGTATGATAGATGTGTTTATTATAGACAGTGAAAGACGAGCAAACAAGCATGTTGGTTCACTTCCAAGAAGATCTGTGTTTCTCAAGGAAACGTCCAATGACACCGATAGTTCTCTTCTGCTTAGCTGGAACAACATCGATCAGGTAAATTAACTAACATCACAGTGTGATTGGTTGGTGAAATGGGAAGCATAGTAGTTTATCTTGCATCTCACTGATGTGGTGCAGGTTTGAGCCCTGGCTCAGACTGGATCATATGTGAGTTGAGCTTGTTTGATGTTTTGTTTTCTCYCTTGCCATAAGGGTTTTCTCCTGGTTTCCTGGTTTCHTCAACATATGAGTTGAGGGTTGTACTGTACAGTATGTTGTAAACGTAGAATGTAGTGCATGTGGAGGGAACCTTACAGGGAGCCCCTCACAGGGAGTGGTGGTTGTAAAATATTTAAGTTATTGGTACTAAACAACCTAGAGAAACATCCTTGTWGCAAGGGAGACACACAAGTCTCTTTCCACCTACAGGTAGTATCTGCAGGAATCATACTGGTGACTCATCCTGTACAATTCACATGTACAGCTGTAGYGACAGACAAATACTGCTATGTCACCCTTGCTGACTAAATCGATGAATAATATATTCCTTAAACTTTGTTCCAGGCACTAATGGAAAGACTAACAATGGTACATCCTAGCAATAATACCATAGTAACTGGTGGAGCTCATTCAACGTCGTTGACAGCTGATCTTGAGGCAAGAGAGTCTCCTAACATCAAATACCTCAATGCTTGTTACAGGAGAGCTTATGAAGACTATGTCAAGTTTAAGGTACATTAACTGACAGTCCCTGAATCTTTTATATTACAGTATTTGATTTTGTTCAAGTTATTTCAATCATTAATTTCCACTTAACACRCAGGCAAAGAAGCCAGAATTATGTCCAGTAGTTGAAAAAGCCCAAAATCTTGCAGTGTCTTATGCTGGGTAAGGAAATAACTCTTGCTGCAATCATGTGTTGAGGCTACTGTAGTGACATATTATTGTGCCATCTGTAACTCTTACAAATCTACTTGTCTGATTGGTTGGAATGTGTGCTTTATGAGAGCACAATGCATGTGTTTTACTTCATATCCAAAATAATGGTTCCTTGCTTTGCTGCAAAAATAACAACTGAGCTCAATGGCCAGAAATGATGACTGGCCAAATAAGACTTATCAGTATGTGACCAGTCAACGTGGCCGGTCAAGAGGGCGGACCTTGTAAGAGGTGTTTGAATTGACCTTGTCTGTTAGCTGTCAATCATTTTGAGGAAATCATTTTGAGTCCTATTATGAAGCACTTGGGGATTGTTTACACTATGTATTGTGATTCTCCAGTTTATGTTCTACTAATCCATGCTGCTGCACACATTTTCTATTTCTTTTTTTAATGAATAKGCTAGTAAATTCAGCAAGAAGTAGATCATTTCTATTATTTATAGTTCAGACACAGATGTACTGTATCTCAAACCTGCTTCTTGCCTGTTTAATTTTTGAATATACTGTAAAATACCAACTTTGTTTATAGAGGATAACACTTAAAAGTTATTCAAGTGATGAAGTTGTGATCCTCTTTACAGTGTAAATGTCTCTACTAGTTGATTAGGGATGGRAGCACCATTAACTTGGTCATCAGARCCATGTGAATGTCAAACCATTTGCAGATGTACAGTGAAATTATAAAGTCAGCACTTCTCCTTAGAGCATTTATTTTAAGACCCTGGGTGTTGGTCTGCTAGTTGGGCCTGGAATCACAACCCCCTACAAGACCGACACTTTTACTAATTGAGCTAACTGGGCAGATATTTATTGTATGGTATATTCTAGTTAACAAAATTGTACAACCTTTGAACTGATTCAATTTTATTACATTTTATTAAACAGTACTTGTCTTCTGAGCTCTGACTTGTTCCCAAGCCAGGATCCACACAAACAGTTATTTGATTTATTCATTTCAATGCAAGGTATGTAGTTGACAGGAGAGTATTTTGATGTATGACGGGAGAGGACATGATGTACAATATGAGATACAGTATGTTAATCTGTTTAATAACAAGACTAATGATCTCTGTTGTTAGGTGACAGAACCTTTCCAGCATTTGTACATGATCTGCTTCAACAATACTCCAACAAAAGAGAAGTGGTAAGTGGAATTAATTAATGGGAATTGAAATAAATGGGAATTGAAATAAATGGGAATTGAAATAAATGGGAATTGAAATAAATGGGAATTGCAATAAATGAGAATGGAAATAATGGAAATTGAAATAAGTGGGAATTGAAATAAGTGGGAATTAGAATAAATTTGAATTAAAATAAATGGGAAATGAAATAAATGTGAATTGAAATGTATAAGAATTRAAAGAAATGGGAATTGAAAGAAATGGGAATTGAAAGAAATGGGAGTATAATAAATGGGAGTATAAGTAATGGGAGTACGAATAAATGGGAATTGAAATGAATGGGAATTGAAATAGATGGAAGTTGAAGTAAATGGGAAACAAAACACTGACARATAGATATTGAGCAAACATCATCAGGGACTGACAGTGGATGTACAAGCTAGCAAGAAGGTTTCCATGGCAACTAAACCATGGGTCACCCTGGCACCTATCACACTTAAATTCTCAGTGAAGTATTTTTGGATACTTACCAGTAGACAAAGTAAAAGAGGGTGGGAACTGCAGTAGTAACTAGTACTAGAGATCTAGCAAACTATGTAAAGCTGGCAAACAGCAAATTCCTTAAGTAACCATGAGGGCAAAACAATATGAGCATGGTCATAATGTTGTGATACATTCGACCCCTGACCACCACTCTCTCTACCCTGTGAGCAGAGGTTTTTTTCTAGCCTGCTCGCACTGAGGTACATGTATCTCTTTTCCTCTCACTTCCTTGGGGTAGGAAAGCACCTCTGCTTGCAGGGGAGATTACAGTATATAATCACATAATTTTTTWAAAAACAGGAATCAATATTCTCTCCCATTATATTCATGCTGAATGAGAATAAGAATGAAGTAATGTTGTATGGAAATCAGACATTCCAGTACATTGATCTGCTCACTTTCTTTGCTAATCAAAGTGAACTAGCTGAGGTACAGTATAGTATATTTGAGGCTTTCAYGCTTTGACATATTGACCATTAATTTGGAGCATTTTCTCCAGTTTTTCTCCCTCCTCAAAAACAGGTCTAACATGCTAATTTCCAACTTGATCTGTGAGTTAGCTGTGCCCCGACTTAGATCAGCCAAGAGGTTGTTTCAGGGTTTGATCTGTGAGTTAGCTGTGCCCCGCCTCAGATCAGCCAAGAGGTTGTTTCAGGGTTTGATCTGTGAGTTAGCTGTGCCCCGACTTAGATCAGTCCAGAGGTTGTTTCAGGGTTTGATCTTTGAGTTAGCTGTGCCCTGACTCAGATAAGCCCAGAGGCTGTTTCAGGGTTTGATCTGTGAGCTATCTATGCCCCACCTCAGATCAGCCCAGAGGTTGTTTCAGGGTTTGATCTGTGAGTTATCAGATCAGCCCGATAGGTAAGCTTGTTTTAGGGTGACCATAAATAGAAGGTTTTGAAGGTGACTGTACAAATTATTATTTTATGTAATGTCTTCCACAATCTTTTACTTTTTCTTGTCCCCACAGCTGATTGTATCCTGCAATTGTTGGCTTCCACCAAGACAGGCTTTATTTTTAGGGTCGCAGTCTGGTAGAGCATTCCAAACACAAACCCTTATTGGTCCCTATCTTGCTCTGTCAAGTGTTTCACAAGACCCAAACAAACCTTCAGTAAGTCCTCCTGACCAACTGATCTGAAATAGAAAGGATATCGCAGCAAAACTGAGGTGTCATGAAACCTGTGAAAATTGACCAATGACAAATAAAAACCTGTCCCAGTCACCATTGCAATAAAAATATATATCTCATTAGTCATTGTGTTACACTGTCATAGACAGCTTATTTATTAGCAATTTTTTTTTTCATTTGGTGGCCTACTAGTAATTTCAAGAAGGAAGTGACACCTCAGTTTTGGGATAGAATACCCCACCAAAGCCTTCTCCAATCCTAACCCTGAACCTAACCCCAAGGTACTCGATTGTTTATTTCTACAATGAATGCGTAGGCGCGTAGRCAGCCCACTATAATACTTTTCCTTGYGGGGTATTCTATAGTTGTACTAGTCAGTTTTGCAAATTTTCTCAATTCTGATTGGCTAATATTTTCTCTCAAATCAGCTGGAAGAATTCAATGCACTTTTCACTGTTTCAAACCATGTCATTCCCTAGAGTATCATTTCCTTGTTTAACAGTTGCATATTAGRAAACACATGAATATGGATACGACTCAAACAAAGAATGTTATTCTCAAGGGAATGACATGTTTTCTGGTATTGGAAAACATTTTTTAACTTTCTCTCTCGCTAAACTTTGAATTAGCTGTACCCTGACTTTGATGATCAGGCCTGAGATAGTGTCAATATGTTAAATTGAATGTTGAAGGATTTTATAGCTGGTTTTTGTCCTATTCTGTTTCAGGAACATTTCCTTCAGCCATCTCAACAAACCCAGGCAGATATGCAAGCAACCATGGCGAACCTAAGAACTCAGCTGGACTCACTTTCCAACAAACACTTCAAGGTAATTGAAAAAAAAGGGTTAAATTGTTGTCTTTGATCTTGTAGRCAACTTTGTTTTCAGAGAAACTTAAATAGCAGATATTATGCGTGGAAATGAGATGCAAATGAGACAACAAGCATTGATTCTTAAAACAAAAGAATTATCACATTGAAGGCTCAACTGTAATAACAGCTACAGTACTGAATAGAAGTATTTTTCTGTCTTCTCCAAATTCACTGTTTGTGCTATAGATATAATATAATGGATATAACCACTGCTTTTCCATTTCCCAAACCATAAAAATCAATTAAGAATGGTCCCTTATTCCTAATGGATTGGCAAATATTAGAAATGGGAAAACAGTGATTTGAGCATATATTTGCATATTTCGTTTTTCTTTCCATTTATAACAGCCATATTTAATATCTATTTCTTTAAGTTTTTCTTTGACATGCTGAAAGCATCCAAGAATTGTAAGCATGAGATATTGCGATGGGTTGGTTCTTGTCTACACAGCAATATGCCAAGGCAAAGGGTAGGTCTTGCAGAATTTGTAGTCAGAAATAATTTACAGGAAACAGAATAGATGAATGGAGAAATGGATGAATAGTGTCCAATGATGGAATGAGGGACATCACAAATGGAAGAACAAATGCATGGATGTATGTATGGATGTATGTATGCATGAAGGAAGGAATAAATGTAATTGTGATGAATAAATGAATGATGAATGAAAAGGTAAATGGATGGAGGCATAGGGGGAGGGATGGGTGACTGAATGAATGGATAAATAGATAGATTGAGAGGAAGAGAGGGATGGCATGGATGAATAGATAGAGGGAGAAATGGATGGAAGGTGGTATGGAGGAAGGGATGGAGAAAAAGTGAGAAGGAGGATAGAGGAAAGGCATGGGTGGAAGAATGGGTTCATGAAGGAAGGAAGGGATGACAGGATGGATGGAGGATAAGAGGGAGGGACGGAGTATAGGAGAAATGTGTGGAAGGAAGAAGGGATGCATGGTGAAATGGATTCATGGAGGGAAGGATGGAGGAAGGGAGGYGCAGGGGGAAGGAGAGGTGGGTAGAGGAATTGTTTTATGGAGGGAGGAAAGGATGACGAGAGGGAGGGACCAAGGATGGGAGGGATGAATGGAGAAATTGGACGCATGGAAGGATACTACATGTATTCTGATCAGGCAGCTTCCTTCCCATGGCTTCATAAAATTTTTCTAAAATGATATCAATTCATCTGTTTTCCGTCAGATGATGTCAGAGCTTTTTGCCATGACTTTAGCYGATGATGGATTTTTCTTGAACCTTGGTTCTGTGTTACTCAAGTTATGTCAGCCTTTCTTGGACCCTTCCTCTCCTAAGCTTCTCCGGATTGACCCTCGTTACTGTGCTATTGTATCAAACCTTGATATGCTCTCTAACGAAGCTGCTGGGATGCATTCTGTTGGATTTGAAGAGGAAACTAGACTTGTAATGAGTGGTGATGGTGAGTACATTCAAGGGTAGTGCCTCTTCTCTGGGATCTAGGGTTCAAATCCTGGACTCATGATCATCTTATGTGAGTAGAGTTTGTTAGGTACAGTATCTCCCTTGATTCAAAGGCTTTTCTCCAGGTTCTCCTCACTCAGTAAAACCTAAATGCTAAATTCCAATTAAATCTATGTGTTAGCGGTGCCCTGACTTAGATCAGCTTTGGGGTTTTTTCAGGGTTCTGCTTCAGATAAAATTGAAGGTACATAATGATGTAATGATCAATTGGTTCACTAATTTTTCACTGCGTAATCATGATTATAGCAAATTTTTATACCTTTTCAACAACACATTGATCATTAAATAATAAAAGTTTTGGTTTGTAATAATAGAGTTGGTTAAATTATTTATTCATTTATTTATTTATTCTTTTCACAGAAAATATAAAGCTAAAATACACAGAACCATTTGGTTTCGTGACTGAGCTRTTCTTCATGACCCACAGATGCTTACAGCTGGGTAAGAAATTACGTTCTGTTTTCATGCAAGCATTGATGATAAATTGTAACCTCTGATTGTTCTTGTACATCTATTTTTTTAGGAGTTTGGAAAATTTGTGAGAAATACAGAAAATTAATGAATGAYCTTGCACAAGTAAGTATCTATAGCTATATTTTATACAGCATGAATTATTATATATTATGAATTATATACAGCATGTTATAAATGAATTGTAATGGTTAGTTCATTCACYGCTACTGATTAAAGTTACCTATGGCTTAAAAAATAGTTGATAAATGTATATCTTTGTTTAATGAATCTAGATGCAAAGAACCTATCAAGATGCATCTTCCCAGCAAGGTGTTGAAAGTGTAATGCTTAGTACTCTGAAAGCCACTTTTGAAAAGGGGATCATCCAGCAGCTTAGTTTGAAGGTAGTACATTGTATCTGTATATGTCAGCCTATAGTATCACATGTACCAAGTATTACCAACCAATAAATTACATGTACCAAGTATTACCAACCAATACATTACCATCCATTCAATAACTAGCCTTTTCTTTTGTCTTTTGATTGTTTGTTTTTGTTTCCTTGGCTACCTTGCTCTCATTGGTTTCTTTTGTCTTATTCTATCATATATATACTCCTTTGTACCACCTCTTTCTCTTTTACGTCAGTAAGTTTTTTCATTTTTTCACGGTGTATAATTTACCTTTTCATCATTACTCATCCATTCAATAGCTAATCATACACTTGCGCACTAACAGCTACCAACTACATGTATAGAATAATTTATCTTTTTATTGCTAGTTCAAAGGGGAACTCTAGAGTCCAGGATAGGAATCAAACCCATGACCTTGCAGATGACAGTCGGCATACTCTACTATACCACTGAGCTACAGTACAGGAAAGACTCCTGATCATGAACAGTCATATGATTATTTCAATTGATTTTTTTCAGAGTACCCCTTTCAGCCTTTCATGACAGGATGTGTTCTATACTTCTTTTCTAGCTTATAAATAAAAATTCATCAGCTACCAGCTACTTGCATGGTGACCACTTTTCCATTACCACTCATTATCACACAATAGCTGTCAGATTGATCACTTAAAAACACTCATCAACTACTTTCTGATTACTTGTCAATCATTAACATTCACATAGCATCCATTATCTTCACTCATTTTCCCCTTTTAAGTTGTGAATTGTTCCTGACCATAAAAGTTTTTAGTTTTAAAGTATGTTATAAATCACTTGCATTATAGCTTTATTTACTACYACTACTAGATTCCTTTTGTTCAGTTAATTAGCACCAATTGTCTTACTATTCTCACGAGGAAATTCAAAAAAGAAAGAAAATTCACGTTGCATTTTAGTTGGCACTGTTGTAGTAAAATGACACCATCATGCAACAAACAGCTTATTACAAAAGGTGAACTAATGACAGAGAGTGGTCATTTATTCAGATTTCCTAATGCTTTCTTCCATCAGACTCATCTTCTAAATCCTACCTCCCTTGAACTTGTCATGCGATTCTACACAGCTACGGCATCATGGCTGAACCAAGTAGCTTTAGCTGGGGATGATTTYCAAGACATGAAGGAATTTAAAGAATTACAATTGCCTTTGCCAGAACAGGTAAAAGCCTAGCTACACCAAGGTTAAAATAGCTACAGCAAGGAGGGGGAGGGCAGGATAGAAAACATAAGAGACTAG